GGTATCACCCAGCCAGAGCCCTGGGGGTCCAGATCCAGACAGGGGCTCCCAGTCAGCAGCAGCAAGCCCCCAGTTGCTCCCAGTATCTCCTAGTCAGCAGGAACGGTGGGGGGTGCCCCCAGTAGGCACCAGCAAGTTCCCAGTCCCTCCCAGTATCCTCCCACAACCAACAGCCAGCCCCACCACTGCTCCCAGTAAGCACCCAGGAGCCCCCAGTAAGCACCAGCAAGCTCCCAGTTGCTCCCAACAGGCAACAGCTAGCCCCCCCACTGCTCCCAGTTAGCACCCAGTAGCTTCCCGTAAGCAGCAGCCAGCTGCCAGTAGCCACCCAGTTACTCCAGAAGCTCCCAACAGACAGCAGCAGCCAGCCCCCAGTTACTCCCAGCAGCTCCCAGTAAGGAGCCACTAGCCCCCAATTACTCCCAGTAAGGAGCAGCCAGCCCCCAGTTACTCCCAGCAGCTCCCAGTAAGCAGCTGCCAACCCCCAGTTACTCCCAGTAAGCAGCTGCCAACCCCCAGTTACTCCCAGTAAGCAGCTGCCAGTAAAGAGCCACCAGCCCCCAGTTACTCCCAGCAGCTCCCAGCATGGAGCCACCAGCCCCCAGTTACTCCCAGTAAGCAGCTCCCAGTAAGGAGCCACTAGCCCCCAGTTACTCCCAGCAGCTCCCAGTAAGGAGCCGCCAGCCGCCAGCCCCCAGTTACTCCCAGCAGCTCCCAGTAAGGAGCTGCCAGCCCCTAGCTGCTCCCAGTAGCCACCCAGGACCTCCCAGCAGCCTCCAGTAGCTCCCAGCAGCCCCCTGGGGGGTTTAAGAAGCCCTGGGGAGGGGGGGCGGTGCCCGGCCTGTGATGGGGCTCAGCTGTGCCCGGGGGGGGGGTCCGCCCACCTCCCCCCCCCATCTGGGGGTCGTTGGGTCCTCGGGGTAGCTGGACCCGATAGCGATAGCGTGGCTCCCCCCCTCCCGTGGGGGGGTGTCACCCTTTGTGTCCCCCCCCCAGCACCCGCCGGGGGGTGTCAGTCTTTGTTCCCCCCCCCCCCCCCACGGCAAGGCGGGCCCATCTTCCCCCCCCCCCCCCATAGGGATAGGCTGAGCCTTTCTTCCCCCCATAGGGATGGCTTTGGGTAAGACTTGGACTGTATCGAGTGCTCCCTCAGGAAACTTAGATTCTATCTCTCCGGAGGGTTACCTCTCTAGATTCATAGCCAGGGTGTGGTGCTCTTTGTACCATTAACAATATTTTTATCGCACGTGCTTTGCAGGCAGTGTAATTATCACCTTTCTAACTGTTGTTTAAATGAACTGCTCTACTGAAGTGCCCAGCCGTGTTGGTCACTCACTGAATGTGACTAAACACTGGAGAGTGGCCGTGCTAGTTCACGAGCACTGAAGCACGACTGCACTAGACTGAAGGTGCAGTTCACTATTAGTGTATCCAGAATCACGGACCTGGAAGTTGGAAGGGACCTCTAGAGACCCTCCAGTCCAACCCCCCGGCCAAAGCAGGGCTGCCCAGAGCACATCACTCAGGAGCATCCAGGCGGGGCTTGAAGATCTCCAGAGAAGGGGACTCCACACCCTCCCTGGGCAGCCTCTGCCAGGGCTCTGCCACCCTCACCCCAAACAAGTTCTTCCTCCCATTGCAGTGGAACTTCCCATGGTCCAGCTTGTGCCCGTTGCCCCTCGTCCTGTCCCTGGGAACCACTGGGAAGAGTCCGGCTCCATCCTCCTTCAACCCCCCCTTTAGAGACTTGTCAGCATGAAGAAGGTCTCCCCTCAGCCTTCTCTTCTCCAGGCTCAAGAGCTCCAGCTCTCTCAGCCTTTCCTCATCAGGGAGATGCTCCAACCCCTCCATCCTCTCTGTTGCCCTATCGTGACAGCTTAATATATTAAAGGTGACTGGGCTGATAGTGGTGAATTGGGCATCGGGTCCAGAGAAGGGCGACAAAGATGGTGAGGGGTCTGGAGAATAAGTCTGATGAGGAGAGGCTGAGGGAGCTGGGTTTATTCAGCCTGGAGAAGAGGAGGCTGAGGGGAGACCTTCTGGCTCTCTCCAACTCCCTGAAAGGAGGGTGTAGAGAGATGGGGCTTGGTCTCTTTTCTCAAGTCACAGGCGACAGGACAAGAGGAAATGGCCTCAAGTTGCACCAGGGGAGGTTCAGGCTGGATATTAGGAAAAATTTTTTCACCGAAAGGGTTATCAGCCATTGGACTGGGCTGCCCAGGGAAGGGGTTGAGGCCCCATCCCTGGAGGTGTTCAAAAGCCGGGTTGATGTCGTGCTGGGCGGTATGGGTTAGTGATGATGCTACTTGTTTGTGCTGTGGGTGTCTATTTTTGTCCGTCAGGTTGACTGTTGGACAAGATGATCTTTAAGGTCCCTTCCAACCTAGAAGATTCTGTGATTCTGTGATCACTCGGAATTTAAACCCAGCCTCCCACCTCGGTGGGGAGTGCTAGAACACAAGGGGGGGTTATTTTCTGCCAAAACTATTTTGCCTCTTAACACAACAAACAACAAGTCACCTACCTCGGATTCAGGATCTCTGGAGGACAGAGGGAGCTCGGGACAGACCGGGTAGAACCCACACCAGGAAAGGTAAAGGAGCTCAGGACTTTCCTGGGAATGACAGGTTGGTGCAGATTGTGGATATATAATTACAGACTTTTGGTAAAACCGTTGTATCAACTATTGAAAGAGAATCCCTCAAAACTAATTTGGACAGAGGAGGCGAAGAAAGATTTTGAACAGTTGAAGGAAGAATTGATGAGAGCACCGGTTTCAGGCCTCCCAGATATATCCAAGCCCTTTTGGCTTGGGCTGAGAAACCTAAACTGTTAATCAATCACCCTGTTATTCAGGGTCTTCTTTGAGTTCTTATCTGCAGGTAAAACATCATTAAAACGGGGAGAGGTTTCTATTTTATTATGTTTATTGTCTAATTGAATGAATTGATAGCTTGTGGTATTTTTCCAATTTCTTCCTGTTTCATTTACAGCTTTCTAAGCCTCCTGTTGTTAGCCAGGTGTCGTATGTGAACAGCTTAGAAAATCTCCTGAAGGAGAAAGCAGAATCTAAAAGGTTTGTTTCTTAAAGCTGCTTTGCAAATTTGGGGATGGAGTTGTCGAAGCTTAGATTCACCTTGTCTCCCTGAAGCTGATGGAGTTTGGGTAGGAACAAGCTAAGCTTTGCCAGCTGATGCCACCAGCCTGACATCTGATGGATCCACAAGTGCAGCTCCTCTGTAAAAGCTGAACGAGGGGCTCCTTCCAAGCAATAATGAGTGATTTGTGATGGGTCTGCCCAGCCCTTAAGAACGGGACTAAATTTACTGGTGCCCTCGTTGTCGGTCACTGAGCCAGCTGGCAGCTGCTGCTGGGGCGTGAAGGAGAAGTATTTGTGTAGCCCGACTGTCCTGGTTGCTCCAAAGGCATTTGTAGCTGAGTTTTGGTTTCCAAAGTTGTGGGGGCTGTTGGTGTCCGAGTCGTTACACAGCTGAGTGAACACAACTAATGAGTGTTCTCCCAAAAGGTCTTTGGGGGAGAAAGTGTGATGTGGTCTGTGGGTAAGTGGTGGTGATGGGTCTGTGTGTGTGATTAACTGCTTTTAGTAAAGAATCTGACCCTATAACTCTGGGCTGACTGACTGTGGAGTAGTGAATGCTCCTAGAACTAATACTATTTCATAAATAAAATACTAGGATGATGTTTAAAACTAAACAAACCCACACAACAAACATCCAGGAGATTGAAAGTTTTGTGCGATTGCAAAAAATCCTCCCAGAAGTTGGTGGAGTGTATTTGTCCCTGATAAACTACCGATGGGATGTGCTGGTGGGAATTCCTTAGGCTTTGGGAAACATCCCCTTTCTGTCTCGGAACAGGCAGGTGCTTGCTTTCTGCCCAGATGTGATGTCTCACATGCTTTTGTGGTGCATAATTGGCTACTGACTCCTCGCTTCACTTTCACAGCTTAAGTTTTGTTTTCTTCTCTTGTAAACAGTAAATGGTGATCAGATGTTCTGCTGCTGCTGTTGTTTCAGGGTAGATGAACTAGAAAAGCAGCTACAGGAAGACATCCAAAGAAGGGAAACCGATTCTTTAGATGGACATGATGAGGAGAATGCCCATGGAGATGAAGACCTCTCAGAAGAGCACAGGTCCTTCCAACTCCAAAACCAATTAAATCTAGTGCTTTGCTTGTCTAGCTTTTTTTTTTTTTGTAATCTGTCTTTTTAGCATTTGTTGTTAATAGATTTAATGTGAACCATTTTTATCATCTTTTGGGTTTGGGTGGATTTTTTCTTGGACACTGCTGTATTTTAACAATCTAGCTTTCACATAAGGCTGAAGTGTTCATCTGGAAATAACTGTCTCGCCCAGACAATGGCCCTCTCCATGTTTAAATTCCTAAAAGCACTTTTGCATTTTACAGGGCATTTATAAAGAAGTTTTCAGTAATAGCTGATGCTATACCTGACTACCACCCTGGAGAAGATATATTTGATTTATCGACCTCTGGGAAAATCTTCAGTCAACATAACCTTGACTTGAGGAATTTTCATTTCATCCCTCAGAATCCTATAGAAAAGCTCCTTCTTAGGTAAGAATATCTTCTTCACTCTGTGTGCACTTGTAAAACCTTCTTCAGTGTTAGCAGTTTGTAAGATGAAATAATGTCTTTGCATGCAAATGAGCTGTGTCTTACTAAGCAGGCAAGGCTGACTCCCTTTCCCTGGCACTCTCCTTTCAGGTTAACTTTACACAATAGTGAAATGTTGCTTGAAGCTTCTTTCTTTCCTCCTTTGGCATTCCTGAAAAACATCCTAAATGAGGCATAAGGGATCTGGCCTCTTCCATATCTCTGTACTGTGTTGGGCTACTGTTGGTAATCTGGCCAGTTTGGGGCAGACAAATGCAGAAGTGAAATGTTATAACGAGCAAAAGCTTAGCTATCCCGAGACAGAAAGAGGACCTTTGAGGTGACCTGATTTGTGACCTGCCAGTGTCACCTCCTGTCCTGCTGGCAGTCTCTTAGGTGTTTCCATCCGGAATGGGCTGGGGCTCAGGCTCCACCTGAGGAGGATTGCAGACAGTCCAGATTGCTGACATCTGTTAGATTCAGTCACTGGGCCAGCAGAGCAGCTGTATGTATATAAACAACTGTTCTCAGGATTGGTGTTCTCTATTTATGAGCCTGTCGGGCTACAAGGAGCTGGACAAATTCGTGCCTAATGCCACAGGTGCAAATCCTGAAAAATCCTCATTATTTCAGTTGGTGTTTTATTCCAAACTTGCATGAGTGAACCTGAGATAATTCATTTAATCTTAAGGGATTTTGTGTACGTGGGTGTGAGGAGGAGGAGGGTGGCTTCTCCTCATGTCTTGAGGGAGAGATGTTTGTGATATACTCCTTTGGCTTCAGGGCTCTCTATTCATGTTTTGAAGATCACAAAGAAGCTTCAAAAGTATCTTGTCAATCAGTGACTAGAGGAATGAAAATTAAATAGATCATCCCTTCCAGAAGGCAATTAGGATTTAATTGCTTATGCATGCTTCCCAGTTGGCACAGCTGGCATGTACTGGCTGTCCAGTTGGCACGTGGATGTCTTCCTCACCACTGGCTCAGTCAGACAGGTAGAGGGCACGTGGAGAAGTCAGGACACGGATCTCTGGACAGAGCTACCTGTTGTAGCAGCTACTGAGAATAGAGGAGACTAAAGAAGGGTATGTGGGGAACTGGGAATCATCAATTCAGCTGCTTTTGACGTACCTGATTTTCTAAAGAAGACTCAAGCTAAAATAATTCAGTAATAAAAATGACATATTTTCTGTTCTTCCAAAAGCTACCTTTTGTACCTCACAAACTTGCACAGTAAGATGCACTGTTTGACCTTAATTGGTTTGCCAAAATATTTATTTAAAAGATTATTGTCAACATTTCAAAGGTGTTTGTTTTTTCTCTTTTCTTCTAAAAGTGTTGGTAAAAGCCATTGGACAGTAAAAAGTCTTATTCACTGGTCTCACTGAGCAGAGCAGCCCAGCTGGGTAGACAGGCATCATGGTTTATTGTACAGCTGTGTAAATCAATGTTTGTTTGAAGCTGTTATTCTCTACTAATACAGATGTTTCCAAATCATAGAGTATGATGTTCTGGAGAAAAAGATACTTGTTCTAAATCACAAATAAAGTGTAATTACGATAGTATTTTATATAGGTAGGAGCATAGGTGTAACATCTGTTTTGGATGTTCAGATCTCTGTTTGCTGTTGATGATGGTCTGAGGGGTGGGGAAGTTCTTACACTATTGTGAAAGTGCTGATTCAATCACTAATTGATGTTTTTCTTCTCCTCTTCCCCCCCACCCGCCTTTGTCCTACAGTTCTGGTGTAACCCAGCAGCTCTCCTTAGCTACTAATGGTTTTCTAAGTTCTGCTTACAGTTGCATCTTGTGTCCCATACCAATTCTCAAGTGGCTTTTCCAGGTAAGACTCTACTATTCACACAGTTTTACTCTGAGCAGGTGTAATATTCTTCCTGGAAGCCAGTTGTAGCAGGAAGAATCAGAACAAGTTTGTGAATCTGTTGCATTAGCTTAACAAACTTTTAAATAAAAAAAATATTTTCTTTCTGGATTCTGATTTGCTCTCCAGTCTGAAATGCTTTGATTTTGAGCTGGGGTTGCTCAGCCTGGAGGAGACTGAGGGGAGACCTTCTGGCTCTCTCCAACTCCCTGAAAGGAGGGTGTAGCCAGGGGGGGGTCGGTCTCTGCTCCCAAGTCACAGGCCATGGGACAAGAGGAAACGGCCTCAAGTTGCACCAGGGGAGGTTCAGATTGGAGATGAGGAACAATTTTTCCATGAAAAGGGTTTTTAAGCCTTGGAATGGGCTGCCCAGGGAAGGGGTTGAGGCCCCATCCCTGGAGGGATTTCAAAGCCGGGTTGCCATAGTGCTTAGAGCCATGGGTTAGTGATGGTTTGTATCAGAGTTAGGTTGATGGTTGGACTGGATGATCTGAAAGGTCCCTTCCAACCCAGACAATTCTGTGATTCTATGTCACACAATGTATGACACGGAGGGCATTGCACATGGATGGCCATCTTAAGCCATGGACTTGCATTCATTTTATAACAGGACTGTTCCAAAGCTCCATATGAATCACTTACCCCAACCACATTCTTTGAAGTTTTAGGGACCTCCTGTCTCATTAATTTGACTGTTCGTTTCCACCTTGCTTTAACATGCCTCACCCAAATGAGCAGCGAAGGGTAAGCCATTCAAAAATCATTGACCTCGTGCTATTTCAAGGGAATCAGTGTGAAAAGATAAGGTAGCTTTCTGAAGGGGTAGAGGACCATGAAACTCTCCTGGAACATTAAGTACAAGAACAGAAGCAAAGAACCAAGCAGTGAGACTGCAAAAGGAAGATTTCTTTAAGGAACCACTGCAGCATGACAGGTAAGGGCAAAATCAGGTATCTTCATGAGTCTTTCCCCCTTGGAGTGTAAGTGTTGTAAATTGCCTTTTCCCCCGATAGAGGATCTATCTACTTAGTTCATGCTGTGTATCCCAGCGCTATATTCAGACACTGTCATATATGACACGATCACATCCTACCACCTCTGACAAATACTGTTAAGTTGGAGGGCTGCAGATACCTGCATATTAGTCTTACCTAGCTGCTTATTAGTCATTCTTTCAATCTTCCCCTTATTTCAGCTAGACAGCTATAATAATGAGGTTTCCCACCCTTCACAGCTTTGCTTTGGTTTACCTACACAACGACAGCAGAGACAGGGCAGGACAGGAAGGACAGACCAGCCCTGTGTCAGCATCCATTTATATATCATTTTATGTAGCACTCATCACAGAATCCCAGAATGCTATGGGGTTGGAAGGGACCTCTGGAGATCATCTCCTCCAACCCCCTGCCAAAGCAGGGCCACCCAGAGCAGGTTGCACAGGAACGTGTCCAGGGGGGGTCTGAATGTCTCCAGAGAAGGAGACTCCACCACCTCTCTGGGCAGCCTCTGCCAGGGCTCTGCCACCCTCACAAGAACAAAGTTCCTCCTCATGTTTAGGTGGAACTTCTTATGTTCCAGTTTGTACCTATTCCCTCTTGTCCTGTCCCTGGGCACCACTGAAAAAAGACTGGCCCCATCCTCCTGACATCCACCCTTGAAGTATAGGTGTTGATCAGATCCCCCCTCAGCCTTCTCTTCTCCAGACTAAAGAGACCCAAGTCCCTCAGCCTTTCCTCATCAGAGAGATGCTCCAGGCCCCTCATCATCCCTGTAGCCTCTGCTGTCCCCTCTCCAGCAGTTCCCTGTCCTTCTGGAAGTGGGGAGCCCCGAACTGGACCCAGTGCTCCAGATGGGGCCTCCCCAGGGCAGGGCAGAGGGGCAGGATGACCTCCCTTGAACTTCATGGTCTTCAGATTCTCCCCCTCATCCTGCCATGGCAGGAGTGGGCAACGTCCTCACATGGTCCTTTGTTGCCAGCTGGGCTTAAACCATGACACCTACATTTTAATTATTCAAGCCTTTCAGTTTATGAGTGCCAGGACTTTCCATACTTGAACATCATAAGCAAGAGCCCTATAACCACAAATTCCTTTGTCATAAGCACTAGAAGTAGCTTAAGCAAATGGGACATGGAAATGGTTGTCACCTGTGGCTTCTTCAGCACATTAACATTTACCAGAGCCAGTTCCCATCCTTGCAGTTCCCCTTCTATGGAGGCTGCCTCTTTGAGAAGAGCAGTGGCGTGTTCTTGGTAAATATCCTGTTCATCCCTGATTGTTTCTTCATATATTAATCACTCTTGATACAATGGTCAAAAAAGAAATAGCCATTGGGGGCAATCTACTGTTAGTAGTCAATGAAAAGGGGTTTCCTTCGGCAGTTTATCGATGTTTCTCTGGCTTTCTCTCCACAACATAAATGTATTGCTTTCAGCAAAAACACGGAATAGAAATTTTTTGTTGGTAAATTCAGCCAGCTAATCAAAGCTGCCAGACATCTCTTCTCCTCCACTTCTAGTTACATGTTATGCTGTGACAAAACTCTTAAAATCTTTTGGAAATATTGAGGGCACCCCTGCATCAGCCTCAATTGTAATCTTTCTTTTGCAATCAGAGATCTAATGAAGTCAGAGGCTGCTCAGCCTGAAAAAAATAATCAATTGGGAAATGCTTGCTGAGACAGGAAAAGAAGAATTCCAGCCTCCATCAGCAGGAAGCAGAGACAGGACATTTAATGCATAGTCAAAATAAGTGAATACTATTATCTTTCAAAACCAAGATATGCCTTACACTGCCTTCCTACTATTTTTATCGAAGTCCCACGTCTGTGAGTGAACAAACAGGACATTGATATATCAAGAGTGGCAAGTACTAGCAACTCCTTTTTTTTTTTTTTTAAAAGGGCTTTTTCTTTAGTAACCAGCTAAGTCTGCAGGACCAGCCATGTCCCCAGGAAGCCTGGGACCACACAGTTGTCACTCGACTAGGCTTTTTCCTCACTGAAATGTCATCCCCACAGCTCAGTGAGAGACCCAGGCTTTGAAAAAAAGCAGAAAAAGAATTAGATGTTAGTAGAAAAA